GATTTAAGAAGGCTTTTCAAGCAATGGGGGCTCTGGCCCTGCAGGTAAGGCTTTCTGATAGCATGTATTAAGGAGACAATAAAGCTCCTCTTTTCTCTCCTCCTCTGAAGTGGCAAAGTGGAGTTCAGCATGAATGGCGCATTGTAAGACCAGGAGGTTTTAGGGCAAGTGCACAGTATTAAGCAACAACTATTTTTTCTTTTCCCTTGCCTCGCTGCCGGAGGAGGCCTGAAGGAAGGAGGTGGCACTTAGTTCTTTCGGGCCCCCAGGGCTGCTGCCCCCCCTGCCCACAAGGCTGCCCACAAGCGGTGCGATCCCTGTGGGAACCGGGACTGGGGAGGGGGGTATCCTGCCCGCTGAACCCAGCAGCACCCGCTGCCCTCCAGGAGGGATGGCACCCCAAATTCCCAGGTCTGGGGAAAGCTGTGGCAGGTTCTCTGCTAGCAAAGGGCTGGGCTGAGCAATTGGGGGTGTGCTCTGGTGAGGGTGTTGCTGTGGGGTTGGGGGCTCAGGAGGTGTCTGTTGCGAGTGTCTCCAGCGCAGGTGCACTGTCGTGGCTACAGTCGGCGTCTGCACTACAGGCGTAGCATCACACCTCAGGGACAGGCCGATCATGACCTCTCCTGCAGGATGGAGGTGCGGTAGTGTCTGCGGTCAGCATCTGTGGTACAGGCGTAGGGTACCACATACAGTATCTGCGGTACAGGTGTACTGTAAGGTCAGCAGTCAGTATCTGCAGTACAGGTGTACCATAGCATCTCCAGTCGGTGTCTGCAGTACAGGCACAGCAGAGCTCCATTGGAAGGCTCTGGATGAGGTTGCAGGGGAGGGTGCGCACGGAAGAAAAGGCTTAATGGACCTTTTTTCTGCCCTGGGTCACCACTTCAGAGCCAGGCCCTGTAAGAGCACCCGGTGGGGAACTGCTCAACAGAAGACTTCATCGTGGAAATGCTAGGTTTTGAAACTACCACTTTTTTGTTGTTGTTGTTATGGAGCCAGCTGCTTCCAGAAGAGTGTCTTACTTATTTTTAATGGCTGGGAGGGGGCTGTGATGGGAGGAGGCTGGGCTGCAGCCCATGTACCTCACCAGCCAGACACAGCCCTGTTTTGGAGCTGCCAGGCACCTGGGGCAGGTCATGGTGGCATGTGCTGAATCACAGGAACATCAGGAGGTCCTGGGTTTGTCCCAGCCCACAACAGGGAGCGTGTTGGCTCTGGAGGGTGCTCTCAGGATGGCCAAGCAATTTCCAGCTGGCTGTAGCCAGTTGATACCTCATTACCAGTGAGCATCCCTATGGCTTTGGGAATCCTTTTAAGGGAGGGTTGGGAAGGATACATCCCTCTGCCTACTCAGAATAGGGCACTGGGACTGTTCAGAAGACAGTAGCATCCTACTTTTTGCCTTGATACATGATCTTCTTTGCTCTTGCTACCCACCTCAGACTGTCCTCGCCCCATCATGCTGCAGCAGTTAATGTCATATCACTGTGCTCCTTCAATCCTGCTTGTGAGGACAGCCTATGGGCTTATCTTTGCATAGGTCTCACCACATGTAGCCTGATCCAGCTCAGGGAAAGCAGGACTGGAAATGCATTGGGTTTAGACCAAGAGCTGCTAGAGAGGACCATATTTATGTCTACCTAAGAGTGACTGCAGCTGATATCCTCATTACCCTTGGTGCAGAGGACAAGGCAGGGAAGGGTTGACTGGTCACTTCTTTCCCCAAAAAAGGAGCTGGGGACAGCAAGGAAGGCTGCCAGAGGTGGCTTCAGCCCCAGAGTTGCTGGGACACCACATCTTGTATGCCCCCTTGCCTCCCTCCACTCCTTTCCAGGCTCTTCTTTCCTCTCCGCCGCCCAGAAATGATTCCCTACAGGGGCAAAAGCAAATATTCTCCAATCTCTTTTTCCGCGGAAGATTGAGTTTCCCACTGCTGGGTTTGCTGTGTAATAAACGCAGGTTCCCCACCGTCACCTTTCAACTGGTCCTTGCCGGAGCGGGGACGGAGCCTTGGCAGCCGCACGCCTAGTGAGCTGCTGCTCGCTGGCCCATGCGCCTGCATGCCGGGGTGCTGGCTTTTGCTAGAGAAACTGTTAAATGAGCAAATACAGCAAATGGAAATTTGCATTAGAAGCATCTGCATAAATTGCGATGGTTTTGTGATGTGCTTGGAAAAGGGAAAAAAAAAAAAAAGTCAACATGGCTTTGGGCAAAACAGGCAAACAAAGCAAATACTGCATGGGAAATTGGGATTCAAGTGAGAAAAAGTTGGTTTTCTGGCTAGATTTTTTGCTCTAAAATAGCACCGGCTCCTGCCTGGCATCAGGGCTCGTCTCCGAGAAGAAATGAGGTTTTGCAGGGTAAAAGCAGCTGAGCAGTGAGGTCTCTGTGCCAGCTCTTGGAGGTTCTGCCTGTGCCCTGGCCATGCCACAGAGTCCCAAGGGACCTTGTCCGGGTCCCTCCTCTCTCTCTGTCTCTTTCCACCTGTAGCCAAACAACATCACCCTCGAGACTGTCGGTGCTTCTCCGTTGCCACATAACTATGGTGCCTCTCTCCATGCTGGTCGGGCCTTGGGTGAGGCTGTCAGGCACATGGGCAGGAGCAGCAGCAGTTATTTTAACAGCCGATAAGACGAGGAGCAGCAAGGGGAGGGTGGGTGGCGTTGCTCCCTGGCAGGACAGAGATGTAGAGCGTGATGGTTGGCTACGATATTTGTACCGGTGTGAGCCAAACCGAAGGCTACAGAGAGCAGATCTCACTCTTTTCAAAGAGCAGGCTGATTGCCGCGGGGGTGGGGGTGTCAGAGGGACTTCTGTCCTTTGTCTCATCATTGCCACTGTCCCCAGAGGTGGGATGGCCGCACTGCCTGCGGGTACCTGGGCTGCAGTGCAGGAGGGCTCTCCAGCCCTGGTGCAATTCCCCGATTGCTTCAACTTCTGGTGCCACCCACCAACTTCCAGGGCTGTGGGGAGAGAATATTGAGTCGGAAGTGAATTTGGGATTGGTAGGGAGAGTTGGCTGCTGGTTTGTAGGCAGCTCCCAAGCTCACTGGGGCTCCATGTGCCAGCACTGCCCTGGGATGTGGCATTGCCACCTGCCTCAGGTCCTGGCTGTCACCCGCTGCCCAAAGCTGCCACTTGCGATGGGAACCACTGCAAAGGTGGGGTGGCAGCTGGGGAGGC